TTAACTTAGATTAAAGTAATTATTCATTTATTCTTGCATGGAATACATACGTAGCAAACTGAATCACACACTACAGCTCACAACCTCACACTCCGAAGATGAGAATAACCGAACAATAGTAAATTGATGTAAAACTGAACAATAGTAAACTCATGCATGTAATATGTTCTAGATTGTTTGTTTCTTGTGTGGCAACAACGGTCAGATTCAGTTTTCAATAATATATGATGATTCACTATGCTTAGCATGAAGTTGAAAACTACTTATGTCACACCAACCAAATAAATTTAAAATTTCATTAATAAAAAGTAGGAACCAAACAATAAAGAAATAGGAAGCGAAAGTCAAGAGTAAAGGCCTACAGAAACTGACCGGAAGTGAAGAAGCATCTATCCAAAGTCAAGGCATCTTAATTCACCAAAGACATGCACTCTCCTACTCTGCCTCCAAAGTCTCTTCCTCCTTTCCTATAGACAAAACTCATCGTCCATGTCTCTTACAATAGCTTTGTACACAAGTGGTTGCTCGATGAAATGAGTGAAATTGCTTACTGAGGATCGGGGGCTTTAGTTTAGTTGATCCATAACATAAGATAATTGGACACGATATGTTTATACAGACTTGTAAGTGTTTCTCTATATATTGATCTTCTGGCATGCAGTTCTTGCTGCGTCTGTAGGTTCGTACAACGACGGAACCAATACCATGTTAAATTAAGGAGAACACACCACTCACAACGAAGATCGAACATATGACCTCTTAAATCTCTACTGTACCTTGCAACCCATACTTACATCCATTGTTACGCTAAAATTGATTATGTGAAGCATCAAGAGTCAATCAATATACGAACTAGCACGCGCGATCTTATATTGGCCCCTACAAACCTGCAACATTATATTCTCGAATCATCAATACGTACACTCATTTGGTTGTGATTTGTCATCCGCTTTGAATCAAGTTTTCAAGACAACCAGTAAGAAAGTAAAATAAATCAAAATTCAGAGTTAAAAATATTAGTCAACCAATGATTAGTCAATTTTACCCAAAAAAAAATAATCAACTATTATATTGACAAGATTATATTAACATATAGTCAAGAGTATGACTACCACTTAATAAATTAAATTATTTATTTTACTATATTTTTAATTAAATGTTTTATCTAAGCAATAAGCATTTTGAAAAAGACATTAATTACAATGCAACAAAAGGAATATATCGAAAACCGACAAGTGTGTGAAAATATTAGGGATATGAAGTGTTGTAATGAAAATAGGGATAATAAGTTTTAAAGGGTTTTTTGGCTAATTTAATTGATTATAAGTAAATATCTTAAAATTTTAGGATTTTACTTAATACGAAATTGGACTATGATTCAATCACTATACCAAAATTTTTAATTAAATAAGATTATAAATATATTAAAAAATCATTCTTTTAAATTATTAGTTAATTAACGTTTCCATGTTGGAGAGACATTACCCCGTCGATGGCAGTGACATAGCAAGAGCCACAATTGGACCCGAAGGAGTCGCCGCGACACTGTAATATGATGGTGACGGAAGCATCATGCTTATATTTGCCTTCACTGACGAAGCATTTGTGGTTGAGATACTGATTGGTAAGATGAAACGCTACGTACAAGGAGGAGTTGGACGGCCAAGATAGGGACATAAACTAGGCGTTTGGATAGAGAATATGAAGAGTACCACTACAAGAAAACATAGCAAATTCCGACAAACCAAATAGTCGGAAATTCGTCGGAAATGGATGTTTCCGACGAATTTCCGACTACACCAAGTTTGTCGGAATTCTCTGGTCGGAAAACAATATTCGTCGGAAATTCGTCGGAAATTTCTGTCGAGATGAGTTGTCGGAAAATTCGTCGGAAATATTTGTTGGAAAATCGTCGGAAATATTCGTCGAAAGCCCGTCGGAAAGGTGTCGGAAATGTCCGTCGGAATAGCGACGGAAAATTGCCGACGATATCCCGACGGCATATTCCGACGCCATTCCGAGGAGATTCCTACAAACGACGCCGCAAGATCGAGTACGATTCCGACGATTTTCCGACCACAAATCGTCGGAAGTTCGTCGGAACGTTCCGACGAATTTCCGACAAAATATAATATAATAATATATTTAATATTTTCCGACGAATTTCCGACAAATCGTATTTTTTTATTATTTTCCGATGAATTTCCGACGAAATATTATATTTTATTAAAAAAAAATATTTATATTTTATTGTTAATTAATATAATTAATTAAATTAAATAATATTAATTTAATTTAATTGTAATAATTCAATAAAACAAACACAAATATTATATAAAAACATAATTAAAAAAAATAAAATTCACCACATAATATAAAAAACATAATTAAACATTAATAAGTTCTTAAACAACTAAAAATTATTACAAACGCGAATATTATATATTATCAAATAGAGTGTCAACGTTATTTGTTTCATTTTGATTTCCGGGTTGATCTTGGCGAGAAGGCGGAACGATGTCGGGATGAAGACGGGCCATCATATCCATCCAAAACTTACAATCTTTTAATTGACTCTTCAACTCGATGATTTCGGCTGCGTTTTCTTGACAATTCACGTGTGCATGTGAATATGACGAACTTCCGCCCATGTCTTCGTCAAACGGAATGGAACCGAATCCAAATCTACGTCCTTTTTTAACTTCAACTTGCTATTATAATGAAAATGTTGTTAGGAAATAAAACATATTATCTAAATTATACTATTTTAATTACTATTACTTACCGATCGGAAAATATTGTTTTTTTCTGCTTGGGTGAGTTGATAATCAGCAGGCGTGTCCGAATGTTGACTCAATTGTGTGAGTTTCTCTTTCTCCATCTCCCGACATCGACGAGCTATTGCCTCAGCTTTTTTATCAACAAATGTCCCGTCCGATTTCCGTTTGTGAGTCTCCTCCATGAATGTCACCATATCGGGATACTCACCGGTTTCGGGATTACGCTTGCATTTAAAATATTTATTAGTTAAAAATTTACAATAAAATTTATTATAATGCAAATTGAAATGTAAAAAATTTAAATTTTTATTTACCATTTTTTCCTTTTTCCGGACATATGGCATTGATCCACAAGTATGTTTAGCCATGCCATAGCCTCCGCGTTCACTCTTGCGATTTTGAGAATTAGTTTCACTACGGGATTTATTTTGCTCTTGTAACCAATATGCAATAAGCCCTTGCCAAACGTTTTCTCGCATCCATTTTGGCTTTTCTTTCCCGTTAAGCCATTTCTTTTTCCATCCATAAACATAATCCAATAAACGACTCCCACATATCTCCTCAAATTTTTCTTGTACTTCGGCCGTAAGACCATAATCCCAATAAAATTTTTGCTACAATATTAAAAAATTTAAAATATATATATTTTTAGTGTTGTAAAATTTTAAAATTTAATTTTTTTAGCTAAAATTATAAACAAAGTAAATAAAGCATAAATTTTATTTAAATAAACTAACCGCAAATGCCTTAAACCAACGTTTCTTTGTGTCTCCGGAGACCGACGTAATATTCGGAGCGGGATCGGGGAAATCGCTCTCCATGATTTTCTTGATAATCTTTGTGAATCTTTTATCGAATCTATACCTATAATTACCAAATTATTTAATTGAGATTATCTACGTAAAACTATAAATTAAATAATACAATTTCTTACCAAGTTGTTCCGTTCATACGGCTTGGGTCGATCTTTTTCAATTTCTCTCGACCCGGAGCACGGAGTAATTGGTCTAGCGTCATAGAATCGAGTGGATTTGCATCATCATTCCGTGTAGGCATCGCCAATGGTTCCGTCTCCGGAACTTCCGTGTCCTCCATGGGAAAATCATCCGGTGGTTGGGTTTCGGAACCAAGATTCAAATCCGGAGCAAACCCACGTTCATTACAATACGCCATATATCCACTCCACGATCCATTATCCATCTCCTTAATCAAATAAAAAATTTATAATTAGTCTTTTGAATTTTATAAAAAAAATTATGAAGAAAATAAAACTAAACATCTTACCTTAACGTTTGTTTATCACAGAGAAATTTTAGAGAGATTTTGTAGAGAGAGGTGAGAAGTGTGTAAGAGGTAAAAATCTGTGAGTCGTATATATATAACAATTTCCGACGACCATATTTGTCGGAAATTCGTCGGAAACAATGCAGCGAGAATTCGCGAGATTTAATGTCCAATTTCCGACAAATATGGTCGTCGGAAATTCCGTCGGAGATTGTGTATTTGTCGGAAATTCGTCGGAAACAATGCAGCGGGAATTCGCGAGATTTAATGTCCAATTTCCGATAAATATGGTCGTCGGAAATTCCGTCGGAGATTGGGTATTAAATTTATTGCCGTTTACTTTTCCCGGGCGTCAGAGAAATTAATGTAACTAATTCCGACGAATTTTCCGACGAAATTTAAAAATTTGTCGGAACATTCGTCGGAAAATGTTCCCGCTTCAGTATTTCTGAAAGAAAAGTAAAAAAAATAAATTAATTCAATATAGCCTAATTCCGACGATTTTCCGTAGGAGAAAATAATGTCGTTGGAAAATTCGTCGGAAACAGGGTATATTAATTTAAATAATTTTAATTATTTTGTGTCAAGTATTTCTTTAATTAAATATACCCTGTTTTGTATCAAGATATATTTAAGCGGTACAAATTTAATCTCAAACGTTTCATACGACAGTTCCGACGAAAGTATGAATAAAATAAAATATTAGAATGGTTTAATTATTATAAAATAGAAACAGATTTTTTTTAACAAATAAATTATAATGCATATAATATGATAAATTTAAAAGCATTTAAACAGATTTTATAAAATATATATATATAAAACTAAAGAAGATATATTTGATTTACTCAGAATCGGAAGAATAATCTGAACTAGCAGAATCATTTTGATCTTCAAACTCTTCTCCATCCTCTTCGTCTTCCGCATTTTCCCATATCTGTTCGACTTATATGTTCTCAATATCAACGAGGGGAATGTCACCGACAGATTGATCTACTTGCGTAATTTCGTTTACTGCAATTTGTTGTAGCGGTTCCTTTTCTTTCACCCCATCAACTCTGCTTCTTGGATTTATTTGATGAGCCGTAATCCATGGATATTGTCGAACACCTACTTGTGGATATGGTATGTAGCAAACCTGTGCTGCCTGAGATGCAAGTATAAACGGATCGTACTTTCTTAACTGCTTAGTCGAGTTGATCTCTGTGACACCATACTTTGTAAGTCTAACACCTCTTCCAACTCTAGGATCATACCAGTCACACTTGAAGAGTATACATTTCAAATTTATGACTCCCGGATATTCAACCTCTAATATATCAGTAATTTCACCATAGTAGTCTATCGAATCTGTACGAACAACGACCCCATAATTCACTGTTTTTCTGTTAGTAATCCCTGGACGTTTTATGAAAACGTAGCCTCGAGTCCAATACATCGGGTATGCCATTGCCCTTGATAGAGGACCTCCAACCAACTCTTCAAACCATGTTGGATAGTGTTCCTGCCTACTTGCGGCTGATTTGATCTGCAAAACATACAAGCAAATGTACGATTTTAATAAATAGTAACCATGTTCATAATATATGTAAAATCAACGGTGAAAACTTACATAATATTTTAACCAATTAGCATATTGTGTCTGCTTCATTTCCTCTTTTCGAGCCTCTGTCATGTTTGGATACGCTCCAGACACTTGATCATCAAAGATCCTACAGACATTTGTTTTTTTGTATAAGTAATTATTTTGCAAATAATATATGCGTATTATTAAGGTATGAATTTTGTTTCTTACTTCTCGAATGGTATGACATCGTCACAGTTCCGGAGGATGTAAGTATGAATGTGATTAAATTCTTGATCTGTAAACCATACTTCTCTTTTCTTCCCACTCAGTCTCCCGATTTGAGAAAAGATATCTGGGACAGATGTATGGTAAAAAGGCCGCACACCCCCATCATCGTACCTACATGGTTTTCTTGCTTTTGTTTGGACATTTGGAGCAAAATAGTAGGCCGAAAAATGAGAAGTCTCCTCGTTTATGCTTTGAGCTACTATTGATCCCTCAACTTTGCTAAGATTTTTAACTTTTTTCTTCAAATGGAACATAAAACGCTCAAAAGGATACATCCACCGGTACTGAACTGGACCGCCTAGTGCTGCTTCACGAGGTAGATGGATAGGCAAGTGCTCCATGACATCAAAGAATGATGGGGGAAATAATTTCTCCAAATTGCAAATGATAATCGGGATATTATCTTCAAGTGTATGTAGTCCTTCGACTGTTAGAGATCTTGAACACAAATCTCTAAAAAATGCACCTATCCCTGCAATTTAATTAATAACTGTAAACAAAAAAAGAATATATACATGAATAATAACATATTAAAATAATTGAAAGATAAGTTGTTTGTACCTGCAATTGCTTCATGGACAACATTTGGTAGGAGTTGTGTAAACGCAAATGGTAGTAAACGCTGCATGAAGACGTGACAGTCATGACTTTTCATCCCAGCTAATCTACCACTGTGATCATCAACACAATATGATAGATTTGATGCATAGCCATCAGGAAATTTAACATCATCAATTATCCACTGAAAAAACTTGGTCTTCTTGCTTGCATCTAATCTCCATATAGGAATAGGACCTACTCCGTCTGCAAGCAAATGGAGATCCTCGCGCGCACATATATCGGATAAATCCATTCTGGATTTGACATTATCTTTAGTCTTACCCGCGACATTTAAAATGGTGTTAATTATATTGTCAAAGAAATTCTTCTCAATATGCATAACGTCAAGACAGTGGCGGAGTAGATGATTTGTCCAGTACGGTAACTCCCAGAAGATACTTTTTTTATGCCAATTATGATGTTCTCCATATCCATCTATTCGGACATGGCCATTACCGCCTACCGATGCTGTACAGTCAACATCAAAATCACGAAATTGATTCAATATATAATCACCATCATACTCAGGTGCCGGTGGATCACGGATACTCTTGTTCTTGCGGAACAACGTCTTACTACGACGATATGGATGATTTCGTCTTAGAAAACGACGATGACAATCAAACCAACTTGATTTCCGGCCATGTCTTAGTTGGAAGGCATCTGTATTATCTTGACAATATGGACATGACAGTCTTCCATGAGTTGTCCAACCCGATAACATGCCATATGCGGGAAAGTCACTAATAGTCCACATCAATACAACACGCATGTTAAAATTTGTCTTTGTGGAGACATCATATACCCAAACCCCTTGGTACCATAACATTTTTAACTCTTCTATAAGCGGCTGTAGGAACACATCAAGTGAACGACGAGGGTGGTTTGGACCAGGAATCAAAATGGTTAAGAAAAGAAATTCTCTTTTCATGCAAAGGGAAGGTGGGAGATTGTAAGGGGTGACTATTACTGGCCACAAAGAATATTTTCTACCTGACTTTCCAAATGGATTGAATCCATCCGTGCATAAACCAAGATAGACATTCCTTGGTTCATTAGCAAAGACTGGATATGTAGAACAAAAATGTTTCCAGGCCGCTGCATCCGATGGATGTGAAATCTCCCCGGTGAATTCATGTTCAGCGTGCCATCGCATACCCTCCGCTGTCCGATCTGACTGATACAACCTCTTCAACCTATCAGCCACGGGCAAATACCACATACGCTTATATGGTATTTTGTTTCGCCCACTAGTAACCTGAAACCTTTCAGCACCACAGAAACGACATTGAGACATATTTACATTATCTCCCCAAAAAATCATACAATTTTCTCTACACACGTCAATCATTTGGAATGGTAAACCTAGCCCAGATACCAATTTTTGGATTGCGTTGTATGAAACTGGCGATAAATTATCTTCTGGTAGATAATCGTGGATAAAATCAGCCCACGCATCAACGCAATCTTCACTTAAATTGTAGTCTGTTTTGATGTTCATCATACGTGTTGCGGCGGATAAAGGAGAATGACCCTCTCTGCATCCTGCATATATCGGATGATTTGCAGCATCTAACATATCGAAAAATCCCTGTGTTTCTAAGTTGGGTTCCTCCGCAACATTAGTATTTTCTACGTTATCATGAAATTCACCACTACCAATTCCAATTACATTATCTTCTTCCTGGTGAATATGCTCATCGCTAATTATAACGTTTTCATCTCTTCTTTCACGACTACTACTAGGACCCGATCTAAAATCCTCCCCGTGAAAAAACCATATATAATATCCTGGTGTAAAACCTCCCCAATATAAATGATTCCAAACAATGTCTTTTGCAAGAAAATGATCATTACAACATTTGACACAAGGACATGCCATAATACCTTCGATACGCGTCATTTCTTGATTAGATGCAAACTGCATGAATTCCATTAAACCTTCCTTGTACTCCTGCCTCATAGCTCCGGTCTCATCATCTAATCGATTATACATCCACTCTCTAATTTTATAAATATTATGAGAAGACATTTTTTTTTCCAAGATTTTCTTGTGTTTCTGTTTTTTTTTTTTTCAACTTTTTTCTTGTGTCTATGATTCTTTCGTTGTCTAGTATATATATAAAACTTTTCCGACTAACATTTTGTCGGAAATTCGTCGGAAATTCTAAAGTGGTTTACCTTTAATATTTCCGACGAACTTCTTACAAAATTTTAGTCGGAAAGGTTTGTCGGAAATTCGTCGGAAATTCTAAAGTGGTTAATCACGTGTTTACCTCGTTGTGTCCGACAAATTTTCCGACAAGTTTCCGAGCAGTTTCCGATGACATTGGATTGTCGGAATTTTCCATGGTTTCCGACAAATATTTCCGACGAAATTCCGACGAATTTTTATCGTCGGAAAAGTTTTTATGTTTCCGACGAATTTCCGACGAAATATTATTTTCTTGGAAGTTTGTCGGAAATTCCCCGGAAATCCGTCGGAATAATTCCGACAAAATATTTCGTCGGAAATGTTCGTCGGAAATTGCTATGTTTTCTTGTAGTGTACATTGTTTGGATTTTGATTTTTTTCTAGAGGTTGTGTGTTTTTTTTGATAAATGAAGCTTTGAGATTGAGATATTTATATTGGAGACTCGGTAATTGGTCTCATTAGTAACTAGATTAACTGTTTATCTAAAAAAAATAGTACCTTGTACAAAACTCGAATGATCATTTTCAGTTTGTGGAAGACATGTTTTGTTTTAGTATGTAGAGAGAGATGAGTTTTGTTTTTGTTTTTCGGCGAGAGATTGGGAGGGCCGATGAAAAAGTCAAAGATCATGCATGTAAAACTCTTAGGAAATAGAATCACACGTACGGTACAAACCTTGTTGTGACGACTAGTTTTAAGCAAGTAGCAAGTAGGATTTGACCCTCGGGATAAATTGTATGATCATCGACTTCGTCCTTTAAAAAGGCTAATCTTTCTCCTATTTTTATTATTATTATTTAAGGCTAATATATATTTCATGGCAATTAGCTAATCTTCCATGCATTGTGATTAGTGTAGTCGTCATGGGCAGGGAAACCGTGCATGGGCTTAAACGGTTAATCATGTGAAACTAAGCATGTGGTATGTCCATATATTAAGAAAATAAACATGCTTCAAACATATGGGTATTTATTACAATTACAATTACTTTTAGTTTTTGACATATAAAAATGGATTTTAAATTATCAAGTTTTATGATTAACAAGTTTTCTATAATTGTAAACCAATAGTATTCAATTCTTTTTTTGTAGTTTACAGTTAATCATCATTAACTAATAAAAAAAGCATAGAAAACTTAAAAAATATACTTTTTTTTAAACAAATATTTTAAAAAGTTGGATTAATTAGGAACATAGAAAGTGTTTCTAATAAAGAAGAAACCAAAAAAATGAAGAGAGAGTGAAAATATTGTTTCGAAACATACTAATTCTGTTTGGATTAATTAGGAATATAGGTTTTGGTATCTTAACTCGTATAATATCGGCATATTTTACCTTTTGGTGAGAGTTTCCGGTAAGCTTCGGTCCTTTTTTATTGGGCTCTCATGCCCGGCTAGACGAGTTTCAATTTTATTTTTAATCCCTGATCTAGAAGTAACCAAACTATTAAATGTATGTTTGTGCGCGTACATTTAATTTCATATACTCTTTACTAGCTCTTTAAGACAGAACTATTACAGTAAAACCTCTATAAATTAATACTCTATAAATTAATAACCTCTCTAAATTAATAACCTCTCTAAATTAATAAATTCTTCCGGTCCCGAGTTGGGACCAGTGTAAAATATGACATAAATCGATAAATTAATAAGATAATAATTTTTTTAAAAATCTCATATAAACATATGGTCCAATTGATATCATAAATTAATAATTGTATAAACTTATCAATATATATATATATAGAGAAATTGTTAAAAATGCCCCTTTTTCAATACCCCTTTTCAAAAATGCCCCTTTTGAGAGTCCATTTTTAAGTTTGCCCTCTTTTAATTTTTAATGACCATTTTACCCTTATTTGAAACAAAATTAGGTCCACAAAATACAAAATATTTTTTGGCGGGAAAAGTGATCCCGCAATTTTCCCGCCAAAACACTTGTAAAACCTTTAAAATACCTTGTAAAATTTTCCCGTAAAAATTTTTCCCGCCAAAAAAATTTCCCGCCAAAAATTTTTTTTTGCGGGAAAAGTGATTCCGCAATTTTTTTGCCGAAATTTTTTTGGCGGGAAAAATTTACAAGGTATTTTAAAGGTTTTACGGAGTATTTACAAGTGTTTTGTAAGGTTTTACAATATATTTTAAAAGGTTTTACAAGGTACTTATAAGGTTTTATAAGGTATTTATAACTTGTAAAACCTTATAAAAAACTTGTAAAACCTTATAACTTGTAAAACCTTATAAAATAGCTTGTAAAATCTTATAATATCTTATAAATACTTTATAAATACGTTGTAAAACCTTTTAAAATACATTGTAAAACCTTATAAATACCCTGTAAAAACCCTTTAAAATACCTTGTAAATTTTTCCCGCCAAAAATTTAACGCCAAAAAATTTGCGGAATCACTTTTCCCGCAAAAAAAATTTTTTGGCTGGAAAAAATTTTACGGGAAAATTTTACAAGGTATTTAAAAGGTTTTACAAATTTTTACAAGTGTTTTGGCGGGAAAAATTGGGGGATCACTTTTCCCGCCAAAAAATATTTTGTATTTTGTGGACCTAATTTTGTTATATTTCCTTATATATTTATGATATCTTTTATTAAAAGAAGGGTAATTTAGTCATTTTATACATAAAAGGGGTATTTTTAAAAATGGACATCCAAAGGGGGCATTTTTGAAAAGGGGTATTGAAAAAGGGGCATTTTTGTGAGTCTCCCTATATATGATATAAATTTATATATGTCATATTTGAATTACTATGATATATATTTAAAATATTCTATGTCAAAAATTTAATAAAATATGACTCTATTATTCGAAAAAAGTTTGTGTTGTTTTTTAAACTTAATAATTGCTTCTCTATTTGTAATTAGTTTTTAAAAAATATTACTTATAAAGAAAAAAAATTATTTTAAATAGAAATGTTTTTAAGAAATTATAAAATTAGTAAAATCTCTCTATAAATTAATAATTATTAATTTATCGATAAATTAATACCTCTCTAAATTAATAAAATTTGCTAGTCCCGACATTATTAATTTATAGAGGTTTTACTGTATATCATTTATAAATAGTTTTCCAATTCTAATTTATATCCCCTCTCTTTCACAAATAGTGTCATCCTACTATTTCCACACAAATTAAAAAAAATATATAAATTTCTCTTTTACTCTTTGTTAATACATTTAATTAGTTTTTCTCTATAATTTATATGTTGAAAAGCAGAGAGAAAACTAAAATTTTATTTAAAAATATGCATTGAAAACATCAAAAAACACTCTTTATGAATTAAAAAATAAAACCTTAACACGACACTTTGGAAGTAGTAAAAGATATACTCCCTCTGTTTCAATTTATTTGTAGATTAACCAAAAATTTGTTGTTACAAAATAAATGTTGTTGTGAAGTTTTTATGCAAAATTAAATCTATTTAATAATTTTTGCCCAATTATATTTTACAGCATATTGTATTATTGGTTGAATTAGTTGTAATTAATGATGATTTTATGTAAAAGAGAAATTAAATTAAATTTTTGTGATTTTTAAATCTGTGTGCAAAAACTTTAAAAGTACAAAGAAATTGAAACCGAGGAAATACTAATTATGTCTTAAAGAGCCGGTAAAGAGTATATGAAATTAAAAGTAAGAGCACAAACATACATCATACTCACCAACATTTTGTTTCCTGACTTTAATTTTTCATTTTCAGTAATGGTATTTATTGGCCAAGTATTTAAGGTCATACTGATTTCTGTTTTTATATCAACTAATTCATGACGTAAGTGATATTTGAAGAATTTGTATCCTCACAAGTCCAATCAATCTATTTTCCATGAAATATACAATTGGAAAATTCAACGCCATTTCATAGTCACGAATGGCTCAGTTTCCGCCGGGACCTAGTCTTTCCCCACACATCAGAGTCATCTCTGTAGAGAACTTTGTGATGAATCATATTAATTTTTTTTTATCTATTTAAGCAATTCAAATATAAAGTGAATGATATACTCATATACAAATTGGCTAAAACGTAAATGCTTTTTTATTTTTTAACTTGCCAATAACCATCAGCCGTTTTGTCAGATTTACTTACGTTTTCGTAGACTAAACTATATAACTGGAGCAACTAACATAAAATATATAGAAAGTGTACTATGTAAACAAACCTCAATAAAACCCATATACACATACGTTTCTTCTAAAAAACTCTAAGAAAAGCATTCTGAATCAAATCTCCACTGATTTTTCTTGGACTTTGTACAAAGTGTGTTAACGAGTCGTTTAGCTTGATCACTATTCTTTTTCGATCATTAGTCATCCCACCGTAACAAGAAAATCAAACACCTCCAGATGATATAAGCACGCGTTCTCTGCTCCTTACACCAATCCCAACACCGGAGTTTCGATATCCGACCTGACCCAACTCGTTTATGCGAGATCTTCATCTTCTTTCACCACCTCTATGTGTTGTTTGTAAGTAGTTTTGGAGTGGTGAGAAGTACAGAAAGTTGTGGAATATATAGAGAGGCTAAAGTTGCAATTAAATTTACTTAGATTGAGAGAGAGGTGACATGAACAAAAAGAGTGGAATCCCACTCTACAGAACATGACAAGACAAAGCTGAGTTTACTTGTTTTGCCTCTCTTGTCTATTTCCTTCACTCGCTTTGCTTCCACCTATCACTCTCACGTATCACATTTTCTATACAAAAAAAGAAGAAAAACAAACTAATGCTCGAGAAATTGCACAGTTACGTGTTTGTACATATGTATCATTTCTATTCGTAGTGCTCAAATATAGAGCATGTTACTTCATGAATATTTTTGTACGATTTTGCCCGATTTGACAATTCTAAGTTGGAGACTTTTTCTGAAGATGTATTTTCTTTTTCGACCCCAACAAAACAGAAAAGTAGATATGATTACATTTGTAACTATAAACATTTGTGACTTTAGGATAAAGTTTGAGTGGAGGGATCGAGGCTCAAACACACAATCTCTTATAAACTCAAATTCTCATAATTGAAAGTAAAAACTCGAGTTTAATTCTCAACAAATTTTACCGTAACTTTCAATAGATTTTAGGGTTCTTTATTTTAAGAGGGCAGTCAGATATATAGGCTTTTTTGTTTATGATTTTGAATATATCATTCCAGCTAAATCATTTTACGTTGGATTTGGTCAAAATTTTAGCAGTTCAAAAACTTTTCTGACCAGAGTCGCAAGATATTTTAGATAATAATTGAAGTTCGAGACTAAACCGAGTTGGACTGTCCCAATTAACACCCCTAGATAATCAACATATCTCAATTAATTGTCGGGTCTTTGGATCATGCGTTTGTTTAATCACTTTCACAAATAAAGATGTGTAGGACATAGAAAGAACTTAAACTAAACAGTTGTGTCTTTGTTCCTTCTACTTCATTTGGTTGATGTTTCATAATGCGACGCATAAACTAATATAATAATATATGGATATGTAATCCTCATGCAGCTGTTACCCATTGGTGCTACTGGTCGGGTTATCAAGTACCATTATTTAATTTTTATTATAACATATTATTAACTTTTTTTTGCCTTTGAATTGAACTAATATATATATATATATATAGGTGTAAAATTAATAAAGTAGTATATTATTTTCATAATCTTTAAAAATGTTTACTTATCCACAATAAAGTGATATACCTCGCTCTTGAATCCAATAATTGTAGTCATTCAACAAGGTTATAAGTGCATCCGTATACTCTATCAATCAATCACTCACACTCGTACATGTCACGTTTAAATGTGTCGAACCCAAACTATAGGCACACAAATACTACATACATAATTAATAAATATACGTAGACTTTTTAGGGTAAGTTTAGACTTTAGAGGGTAATAGACCATGAGATCTTAAAGATATTATGTCGTTGAAGTTTGCAAAGAAACAATATTACATTTGTATAATTCAAGCTTAAGAGATTTTGTACAAGTCCAAATCCAATGATTACACAGTACACTATTCTCCAATCTTTAAAAAATGGCGAAGATTGGTAAAAAAAACTGAGTAAACAAAAAAAGTAAGATCAAAATTAACAAGGTCCAAAAAAAGAAAAAAATCAAGAGTTATCATCGGAAGAAAGAAGCATAGTGATGCAAATTCTGATGATATGAAGCTTTGCTCTCTGTTGTCTCACTGTCCTCCTCATCTTCTCCAGCCTCTCTTTCATCTTTTCCATCAACTGACTCATCAATTTTCCAGATATGTTGGATACCAACATGGCAACAGATAGTTATACACACGCATACATTTATATACATGCAAATACCTGCACGTACGAACAAAGGAAGAAGCGACAATCCCACACCTATACACTTGAGTTCAACCTCCAACACTATATACAAAGTGTCCAAACACCATGAAACTCTGTCGGAATCCTACGTGCTCAAGATACTTGTTTTTGTGTGTGACTTTAGTTTTATTTATGATTTACACCATACAGTTTTGTGTTTGTGGGTGGATGTACAACTATACATACAAAAAGCTAGCTAGGTATTAATTAATCTTATATATAAAAGATGACCAAATGTTTTGCAATCTTTGACATCATCACTTCTTTAAATTACAATCATATAATCTTTTCTTTCCTTTTTAATTTTTTTTTGTTAATAAAAAAGTTTAGGTCTCTTTATACCGAAATCTCAATCGATTTGAGACCAGCCTTTACTAGTACCATTAGAGCGGAAACCATTCCTCTCAAGTGAGTCTTGAACTTGGGAACATAATCTCAACTTTCCTCCAAAGGGAATTCTTGAAACCAAGTGAACTATCACCATTTGTTGTTGTTGTTGTTCTTTTTTTCTTAAAAAAAAAATCTTTTAAATACTCGTATGATACAACTTATTAAGTATGTATGTATATATATATATATATATATATATATATCTTTTAATTAAAAAATTAGAAACACAAGACTAATTTTCCAAGCATACTACTCGTTAGATTCAATTTCAAGTATGCTTAGAGACATTTTCAAACACCTAATTAACAAAGCATACGCGATATTAGCATGTGACTCAAATGCATGTAAAAGATAGGAACCCATGAATTTAGTTTTGAAACAAACTAAAAGATAATCTGCGTGGATGGTTCATCTTTTTTCTTTTGTCAACAACTCGATTGATATAGTGTGTTATAATAATAATGTATGAAAGTAAAATGGATTGGCGCATGGATGGAGAGGGTCCACTTGTAGGTTGGAGAGTGAAGCAAGTTCACGTGCTGATCGTCATGCAACTCTTTGAATATTTGCATAAATACACGTTGTTAAACTCATCCTCCATGTTCTCTCACTCTACTTTTTGTCCTCCTCCACTAACTTGTCATTTCTTAACTTCTATAATTTTGGGTCGATCATCTCAATTAATTAACATTATCTATTTTATATGTAAATGTCTTCTTATCATCTTTTTTTCATATAATGCTTATGTCTACAATCTAAGTACGTTACACCGTCAAGATTGGTGAGTTAAAAGAATAATTCCATTATTCTGTGCTATTCACAATCCTATAGACTGTAATTTGTAAACTTGAGTTTTCTTATTAATTGCGCTAAATATAGGTAAATATGGTCAAGAAAAATAAGAAATCAATATTACCAAAAATAATAAGAAAAAATAAATTAAATAAATCATACAATGATAACAAACAGACAAAAAACAAAACTAAATAGTGATAGTAAAAGACAACTACCTTTTCTGTTTATGACTTATCTTCAACAATTAGCTTCAATATTGGTTGTATTAACCCTACAAGCTGTCCGTTTCATATCTTGTACACAGCACAAAACATATAATCTTCTTGTCTTCCAAAATCTGTTTTTAAACAGCAATGCCTCTCTAATTAATCAATCTTCACCACAAGTATATTTGATTAATTAGAAGCATGTATTTTCGTTTCAATTGGAGATGTTGTAATGGACTACAAGTATGTGGTACCAAACATGCATATACAAATTTTTAACATTAAAACCTAAGAAAAAAGAAGATATACTAATTTTTATATATGAATCATATAATAATATATGATGGATCGTGTCTTGACCACGTTAGACCCCTAGTGGTAAATCAGGACCTCTTTTAGAATAAGACTAATTAGCTTGCTCCTCGCCATTATATGCGATAATCACATTCGAACCATATGCATTATCCTCAGCCTAACTGGATTTTTTAAATTATACTGAAAGGTTTCATATGATTTGCAAAGTTTTGTTCACTTTGACTATGTAATAATTATCCTTAACTTAGCTTATTGGTGTATTACAGTCGCATGCATGATTCTTATGGTTCTATGGAGAAAAACAAATTCACATATTTGTTGTGTCCTATGTCCTGAGTCATTTGTTGTTTTTAATTAAAGAGCTTTCTAAATTGAAACCAATAATTCAGTCCAATGTATAAATTGAAAAGACCCAATCTAAATATATAACTAAAAATACTTATTGACCACATCAAACAGTACTTTGACATTATTAAACAGTACAATTTATACTCATCAAACACATATAGTCATTTACCATTTAAAAAACATCAACAGTAATTTGACATTTAAACATTAGCTCAAAACGAAAACAAAAAATGAAGAAAACAAAACAAAATGCAAGATTGTACAACATAAGTCACTATTAATTACTCATTTAATACACTAAATATAAAAAGAGAAATTAATTTATTAACCACAATATAGTCTCATTCAAACAATATAATGTAAATAACTGACCTAAAGAGAATTCTATCACATGCATTCGAAATGAAATAACTACAAAAGATGAAAGCATATAAGTTGAATGATGGGCAGCAAAATGAACAATGGAGAACAACCAAATCGGGTGACCGGCATTACAGGTTCGACCGGGGGTCTGGATCAGGTCTGAAAACATTGTGAGATCAAGATCATGCGATGTGGAACTAATGAATCAAAAATTGAATGGTAATTATAACAACTATGGTGAGATATAACAGGTTTTAATTTTTAATCATTCTAACACTTGCAATGAACTGATTTTTTTTGTTTCTCTAATAGAATTGCGATACGTACTACTATTGTTTTACAACATTTCAATCTAAAAAATGAAATAAAAACGCACATATGCCATTCCTTGTTAAGTTTTGTTTTCGTAAATCAATACAAAAAAAGAAAAGATGGTGGAAATAAAATAAAAATAAAATTGAGACTTAAGTCTAACAACTATGGAGATATCATTTGTGACGCAAGCAGCAGCAGTATCGTCGTCATCACTCACTAGCGCTTCTACCTTCTTCTTCAATGGTCTTTTTCTTGCTTCGCGGAATCCGATCTCTCTTGCCCTGTTCCTTCCTGTAATTAGTTCCTCCGCTCTCGTCGTCAAGAGCACTCTCAGGTTGGTTCTTGATCCATTTACAAGTTTCTTCTATTCGCTTTAGCTTTTGGTTAATCCTTGGAGGATTGATTTGATTCTTAGTTTGACTCTGTGTCAATGATTGCTGTAACTTAATTTTCCTAATTTTAGTCCACTGCAGAGGAAATAAGTGAAAAAAATCACTTAATTTTCCTAATTTTAGTCCACTTGCGTTTAAGCGTTAGATTGAGACTAATTGTTTCTCTATGGCTTTACTTGTTTGGAGAAATGTTATACAGAACTTTACACTAGTACAACCACCTTGCATTGCATGCAGAAGGAAGGGAAACAAATCTTTAGTTAGGATGACTGTAAGTGGAGATAGCTCGGAAACTGTTTCAACCGATATGATTTTCGAGCCGATTTTGGAGCACGGAGTTTTCCGGTTTGACTCTTCTGTGGACCATAGGAAGGCTGTATTTCCTAGTGTTTCATTTAAGAACAGCAAAGACCGGGAAGTTCCAATTGTGAGTCACAGTGTTCCAGCATATATTCCTACTAGTGTTTGTCTTCAGGACCAACAAGTTGTCACTTTTGAGGTTAGCGTTTCTTATTCTTTCTCTTTTCTCAAAACTGATCTTACAATGTCAATTTTGACATGATCTAGGTACATACTACTAGTTTACATAATGCTAACTTGTGATGTAGTTTTCTCCTGGCACATCGTTTTATGGAACGGGAGAAGTTAGTGGTCAGTTGGAGAGAACAGGGAAACGGGTGAGTCATTCGCTTAATAACCATCATCACTTCGTTAGCTTAATTAATTTGGTGAGTATAATGTTCAGGTTTTTACTTGGAACACTGATGCTTGGGGATATGGCTCTGGAACCACTTCGTTATACCAGTCACATCCTTGGGTACTAGTTGTCCTTCCAACCGGAGAAACACTAGGGGTTCTTGCTGACACAACACGAAAGTGTGAGGTATATGAATTTCCTAGCTGGTGCAATCCCTCTTTTGTAGACCCACCGACGTTGCAATGTAATCTATCTTTTCCGTTGTATTAACATATTTTTCTTGTCTAGATTGATCTAAGGAAAGAGGGAATCATAAGAATTATCTCCCCAACATCATATCCAATAATCACATTTGGTCCATTCTCCTCACCCACTGCTGTCTTGGAGTCCCTATCGCACGCCATTGGTAATTGCTTAATAATGCTTCTTCTATTTATAACGTCTTAATTGTGCTTCTTTGTGCCATCGAAACATTTCATTTTCATCTGTTAACTCTGCTGGATGACTAAAAGTGAGATGTTTCTTTGTAGAAAGGATCTCTGTTTATGCAATTTGTATGTCGACTATTGTTTGCTCTTTACTTTTGCTCTCTCTATCATTTCTCCTTGGTAAATATTGTTCTGTTTTGTGAATAATTTGTACTTTCTACTTATCAGGAACTGTTTTTATGCCTCCAAAGTGGGCCTTAGGCTACCACCAATGCCGTTGGAGTTATATGTCTGACAAGCGAGTAGCTGAGGTCAGTGTTTTTGTTCATATTTTGGCTTTGGTTATTGAGTAAAGCTAATGAAGGGAATGACACTTTATGTTCAGTTTTAAAAATTTTGGGCTTCCCTGTCATGCTTTTCATCATTGTGCTGATGATTGCAGATCGCTCAAACATTTCGTGACAAGAAAATTCCTTCTGACGTGATATGGATGGATATTGACTACATGGATGGTTTTCGTTGTTTCACATTCGACAAGGCATGTTTTTTTCTTTAAAGATCATTCCAAGTGGATTTTATTAACAGTGCTTACCATGGTTTACATAGACGCCTTAGATGTTTTGTATTGACATTTTAAGAATTTTTTTGACTACTCTGTTTAGGAGCGTTTCCCGGATCCAAGTGCTTTGACGAAAGATCTCCATAGCAATGGTTTCAAAGCGATCTGGATGCTTGACCCTGGAATAAAGCAGGAGGAAGGTTATTATGTCTATGATAGTGGGAGTAAAAATGATGTTTGGATTAGCCGAGCAGATGGGAAG